ACTCATTTGAATAGATACCAACATCTGAAGAATTCCTCAATGCCTGCGAAAAAACGTCCATGAATTGAGAGGCAGACTTTTACAGTTGGTGCGTGTCCAGATTGCAATATTATTCCGCTGAAGCATTGGTCAATATCTTCAAAGAAACACTCTGTTCTCGCCTGACACTATAGATTCTGAAGATTCAAACGTGTGAACAATTCGTCAATGTTTAAAACAAAACAGTTTTCCTTTGAGGATTAAGAAGAAGATTGTTACAGTTGGTGCAGAAGAACTCTTCAGTCTTCAAGAAGACTTTAGAAAGTTCTCTTTCTGCTTTGCTTAACTCTTGTCAAAAAGAACCAACTTCTCACCCAAGTATAGATGCATTTTGAAGCTTAAGATGTACACAACGATGCCTCAAAACGATTTTTTCCCAATTTAAATAACTAATTGTCCAGTTGAAGCATTCATTGTCTGTCCAATATAAGCATTCATTATATTCAATGTCCTGAGGTGTTTTAACCATATTCAAACCAATAGGCGCACAGCTGAAGAATGCTCCCAAGTCCGCAAAAAAGGTCCAGAAAGTTCATTTTATTTTGTAGCAAATTTATCTTTAGGTCTTCAGGTTCAGGTCAAAATGGTCATGAAACTCAGATCTGAAGAATACTTCAATCTTTTGAAAAAGGCGCATAAAACTTATTCTATTTCGCAACAAATTTGCTTTGAAGATTTATCTTCGTATATGATTTGACATTGAATATTTTGAAGATTGATGGTGTCTTCAAGAAGAAAGTCACTGTGCAGGGTGCCATGGTTTTACCCAAATATGCAGATTTTGTATTATTTTGATTTTGTTTTCTTTGTATTTGAAGATTTAAAGAAAGACCGTAACAGTTGGTATGTGCTCATGCAGAAAAAGTCCTCAATGCCAAAAACATCCCAAAAAGGGACCAACATATAAATTTTGAAGAATTCTTCAATGTTCCCAATAGAAACGTCCACAAAACTCACTCTGTTTTTCCACAAATTTAATACGAAGATTAACACGGAAATTGTTGAGTTAAACAGTTTTGCGTCTTCTGAATACAAAATTATACCGTTGAAGCATGCCTCAATGTTTTGAGGAGAAAAACCCAAATATTGTGTTCTCTACTGAAGAAACTATGCATTTTTCAGTGTCCATCTAGAAAAAGATTCAAAGGAAGATCGATTGCAAATTTATTTGCCTCTGGCATTTTCCAATGCTTTCAAGACAAAAACGGAGAAAATTCCTTGTCCTCACCCAACATGGTTATTTTGAAGGAAAAAACGTACAGAGCGATGGTCAGAAGAAATCCGCATCTTCAGTTAAGTGACTGCACAGCTGAAGTATTCTTCATTGTTCTTCGCAAGAATAAGTTTACAGCACTCATTCTGCTTTGCCGCAAATCCACTTTGAAGCTCTAAAGGAAGATTGTAGCGGTAGAAGAATAGAAAAATGCGTTTCATCAATGTCTTGTAAATTCCTCCTTTCTATATGAAAGCCAAATTTGGAAAGTATATACTCCGTTTTCTGGCTGCAAATGTATTTTTTAACGTGTTTTTTTTTTAATTTCTTGATTTAAACAATTCCTCAATCTCTTCAGAAAAAGAACCTGCCGAAATCCAGCAAAAGTTTGCAACTATCCACTTTAAAGAACTTTGCAGAACTAAGAGTTTGAAATTATCCGAATCTTCTCACTCATAATTTTCTCCTAAATCTGCAACCTGAGAAAGTGCTTCAATCGCATCCTCACCTGGATGCTTGAAGTCGTACTTGGTGGGATCCAGATTCTTCTCGCCGCACACTTTCTTCATGATATCTTCCAGAAGAACATTCCGGCTCACTCTCGTGACGTACAGCTGGTTCCTAGGCAGGTGCACTTTGAGTCTGAAGGTACTTTCGAAAGGCTGATGTCCAGGGGCGGAGTACTTGGGGGCTGGCAGTGTCCGCTCCTTTGGGAGAACCTGCAAGATGACATCAAGTAAACTGAAATTAACTCCACCTCACTCCACACAACTCCACATACCCGGATATGTTGAGTATCCAGGGTTCCAATGGGGGTGTTGGGCTTAAAGAGCAACACTTTGTCGTTGTGTTCTGAAGAGGGCGCCATGCCCAATACTTGCAGCGTGTGGTTGGACAGCTGCAGATGATTGGTGGTGGTCACTTGTACTAATAGGTCCATCATTGGCGTGCTGATAAATACAGAAAATGATCAGTAAACAACTGATGGCATCAGATGAATCGCCAAGGCAAATTTACCTTCTTTCCACTGACATTTTAACTGATTTTCCACTGGGAAGATGCACAGTTAAATCCATGGCCCCTGCCAGCATGTCAGGCGGCGTGTCTTCCGTTATTGGTATCATGGTAACCCTGTCGTTCCTCGAGCTGGAACACACAAGAAAAATTCTGCTTAGATCTCGACATCAGTGTTCTTTTCAATTTATAACCGGACGCATAAACTTGGCCAACAATCACCATTAACTGGCCAGTAAACGTTAATACAAGGCGAAGCGACATTGCAGATGTCTTTTACAACTTCCGGTCGCATGGTGGCAGTGGAAAAATGCGCGTTTCCAATTCAATTCATCGGCAAGCACACACCTGTGAAATCGGTAATTTGAAGCTTCTGAAGGAAATTGCTGTTGCTGGCAACGTCGAAGGCCATCCGCGATTGTTTCTAATAGCAATAATTGGCCATTTCGAATTTTTATTAGCGATGATGACGCCTTGACCAATCGCAAGTGGACTTTGTGCCAAGATTCAGGATTAGACAATGTGCTAATTGTGTTAATGGCGATGTTTAGCCGAGCATTGATAAAAAGCTAGAAGAACTGGTTGGCGTTATATAAGCGGATGATGCAGTCCAATGGTCTGATGAATACTAGAGGAATATTTAGTGCAAGAACACCAAAATCTGCTCCAAAATATGCTTGAAATCGAGATCATGACGTTCGATCGCTATTTCAACTTTTATAAATAACTGAAGAAACAAACGGGTTACAACAGTTGCTCTTATCACATGAATCAATATTCCCATGTGGTTGAGTTATTTCAGAGCTCAGGTTATTCTGAGTAATTTGTAAATTTTCCAAATACCGTTTTTTGCCCTTTCCGATGTGAAACATACCATTTTGCAAAAGTTTCTGATACTTTCAGGCAATGTCAAATTGCAAGAGAAGACGAATTTTCTATTCCGCGGTTAGTTCTTTATTTATACCTAGTGACTGGTTAGAAAATGAAACATTCAATTGTTACTCCTAGATAGAGCCGTTAAATGCGCAGACATCATTTTCCAGACGTTTCCAATTCTCTCAAAAATGCCAAATTGAAAAAACTGTTGGTTTTTTAAAAACCGCGTTTTTATTTGTATCTAGTGATCTGTTTGAGTAACAAACGTCTGCTTGTTACTATTTTATAGAGCATTGAAGTATGCCATGGCTCGTATAAAGTATCATTTTGCTATAATTTCTCATTCTCTCAGAAAATGCAAAATTGCAAAAATAGTTGAACTCCTCAAAACCGCGCTTACTTTTCATCTGTATGTGGGGAACGATTATAGTAACGAACCTCTAGTTGTTACTACTGAATAGAGCGTTAAAATGACCCATCTTTTAGTATAAAACAACATTTTGCAAACGTTTCTTATTTTCTGAGAAAATGTCAAATGGCAGATCTAGTAAATTTTTCCAAAACCCCGGTTAGTTTCTATTCGTATTTAGTAAATTGTTGCAGTAGCAGACTTCTAGTTGTTACTCTTGAATAGAGCATTAAAGTACAYTTTTTTATAGTAAAGCWCAATTTTGTAAAAGTTTCCAATTTTCTTGTTAAATGCTAAATTGCGAAATTCGTTCATTTTTTCAAAACGGCGGTTAGTTTGTTWTTCATATTTCCTTAATTGTCAGAGTAACAGATCTTTAGTTACTACTTCTAGATATAGCATTGAAGTGTGCCATGGCTCGCATAAGACATCATTTTGTTAAAATTTCTCATTCTCTCATAAAATGTTAAATTGCYAAAATAGTTAAACTCCTCAAAACCCCGTTTAGATTTTTCTCTGTATGTGGTGAACTATTAGAGTAACGAWCCTCTAGGTGTTACTACTGGATAGAGCATTGAAATCCAGCTWTTTTCGTAAGAAACAYCATTTTGCAAAAGTTTCTAATTTTCTGASAAAATGTCAAATTGCAGTTCTAGTAWTTTTTTCTACGCGGTTAGCTTTTCATTCATAATTMGTAAATTATTGCCCTAACMCATTTCTAGTTTTTACTCTTGAATRGAGCATTAAAGTGTGYTTTTTTGCAGTAAAACACAATTTTSTAAAAGTATCCAATTTTCTTAYTAAATGCCAAAAAGGGAAGAACTTACTWTTTTTATTCCTATCTACTTAAGTATTAGAGTAACAAACCTCTAGGTGTTACCACTAGGTAGAGCATTGATGTGTGCCATGGCTCGTATAAAACACCATTTTKCTAAAATTTCTCATTCYCTAAAAAAATGTTAACTTGCAAAAATGGTTAAACTCATCAAAACCACGCTTACTTTTTCATCTGTATCTGGTGAACTGTTAGAGCAATAAACCTCTAGTTGTTACTACTGGATAGAGCATTGAAATGCACCTATTTTCGAATGAAACATCATTTTGCTAAAGTTTCTCTTTCTCTCATGAAATGTTAACTTGCAAAAATGGTTAAACTCCTTAAAATCACGCTTACTTTTTCATCTGTATCTGGTGAACTGTTAGAGTAACRAACMTCTAGTTGTTACTACTGGATAGAGCATTGAAATGCACCTATTTTCGAATAAAACATCATTTTGCTAAAKTTTCTCTTTCTCTCATAAAATGTTAAATTGCGAAAATAGTTAAACTCCTCAAAACCGCATTTAACTTTTCATCTGCATGTAGTGAACTATTAGAGTAACGAACCTCTAGTGGTTACTACTGGATAGAGCATTGAAATGCACCTATTTTCGAATAAAACATCATTTTACTAAAATTTCTCTTTCTCTCATCAAATGTTAAATTGCGAAAATAGTTAAACTCCTCAAAACCGCATTTAACTTTTCATCTGCATGTAGTGAACTATTAGAGTAACGACCCTCTAGTGGTTACTACTGGATAGAGCATTGAAATGCACCTATTTTCAAATAAAACATCATTTTGCTAAAGTTGCTCATTCTCTCATGAAATGTTAACTTGCAAAAATGGTTAAACTCCTCAAAACCACGCTTACTTTTTCATCTGTATCTGGTGAACTGTTAGAGTAACGAACCTCTAGTTGTTACTACTGGATAGAKCATTGAAATGCACCTATTTTCGAATAAAACATCATTTTGCTAAAGTTTMTCATYATCTCATAAAATGTTAAATTGCAAAAATAGTTAAACTCYTCAAAACCGCGATTAGCTTTTCTTCTGCATATAGTGAACTATTAGAGTAACGAACCTCTAGTTGTTACTACTGRATAGAGCATTGAAATGCGTCCTTTTCTCGAATAAAACGYAATTTTGCTAAAATTYCTAATTTTCTCAGAAAATGTAAAATTTCAAACAAAATTAAAATKTTCAAAACCGCGAATAATTTYTGATCTGTACCTAGTAACCCGTTAGAGTAACATACCTTAAGTTGTCACTACTCGATAGAGCAAGGAAATGAGCCCTTTTTCATATGAGAACATTATTTTGCAAAAGCAGCTTATAATTCTCTCAGAAAATTTAAAAACTGGTCAATTATTTTAAACAGTATTTAGTGTTTTACCTATAATCAATGAACTCTTAGAGTAAAAAACAACCAGTTGTTACTACTAGACAAAGCATTATCCACCCATTCTAAATATTAAAAGGCATTTTTCATCAAAAGCCTCTAATTCTTTCAGGATTTATCAAAGTGCAAACCAAATTAATTTTTTTAAACCGCGGTTAGTTCTTTAATTATATTTAGTAAATCCTTAGAGTAGCAAACTTCTAGTCATCACTCCTGGAGAGACAATGGAAGTGCGCCCTTTTTAATGTAAAACATCGTCATTTAAAAAAAAGTTTTTAATTCACTTTGAAACAGTAAAAGTGCAAAAAGAGCTCATTTTTTCAAAACCGCCGCTCATCTTTTGGCATTTTAATATTTTGGAACATAATTTTACATTTTAATTAGATTATTCAGATTTCTTAAAGGGCCTCTTTTCCCAGCTAATTGTTTTTTCGAATTTTCAAAATGGCTTAAAAAACCAACGATTTACACGAGTTGTGCAAAAGGCCCTAATTGTTATTGTAAGGACATTTTCAATTTTCCAGTTGTCCAAAAATTAAAGTTATGAAAGTTACGCTTAGAGTACTTCACTTGCGACTACGTTTCAGGCAATTGCTTCCTCTGCATAAAATACCTGATAAATTTTCAAGAAAACTGAAAAATCAAACGAGTTGTTAAGAGACGTTTCCACATTTCCCATTTTCCGATTTATTCGAATTGCGCAAAACCATCCATCAGGTCTGCCCTCCAGGTGCTTTTATGCAGAAAAACTGGTTTGAATGTGTCGCAAATCGCCAACATTGCCTTGATATGAAATATGAATAACTCGACAATTAGCGTAAATATATGGTACTTTTGATTACTCATGCACTTGATTAGCGCTTAAAAACCTACGCTTTGTAGGCGAGTTGAGAGGGCAAACTTCCCAACCATTATTAAAATTAATTCAGCATTAAACTGCAATTAAAAATCGCTGATAATCAACAAGGACGCATCGAGACTTCGTAATAAACCTGCGGTAGATTAAAATTCATGTCACTAACAAATAATCGTCTAAAGTGAATTTAAAACATAACAACACCTTTATGGGCAGTTTCCTGTATAGGTGCGAGCTCAAAGCTTTACCGTTAGCTGTGAGCGAACAGGTATAAGTGCTATTGAGTATAATCGTGAGCATTTGCTTATTTTTGCCCACTTCTCAACATTATTTAATCTGAAACTGCCTGTGAAATCAAGCCAAACTTGGCGAATGAACAGATTTTCTAATAGTGTGTGGCAAGTAGAATGAAACCGGTGCTTTATGCGGCCAATTTAAGGCAGTCGAATTGTAGAAAGCAGCTTCTCACGACCCCAACACTAAGCCGGGTTCAATTACATGAATTTTTTTAATTTCACGCAAAGGAAATCGAAGTTGGAGGATTTTTCTTTAAGTATGCCTTAGAAATTGCCAATTCTGCAATGCCAAAGAAGTTAGCGGCTAGCGGATGGCTGCATTAGAAAGGCCAAAGTCGCTGCTTCGCATTCAAAAAAGTTTCATAGCTGTGCCATCCTCAGCGATTTTTGGAGAATTTTTCAAACCCCATGCAAGTTCGGTGGCAAACTTTATTGCAGGTGGGTCTGAAAACATTAATTCTAACTAAACTAT